TGGCTAAGCTCGACTGTTGCTCACCGCCGGCCAGTTTCGCACGTGCCGCCTCATCTATCTCACAGATACAGCTGCCGATGCAGTTATAGTCTTAGTTACATATATACGCTAGCCAAAAGCTCTGCGCCTCCTACGTCATCAATTGAGGCACTGGCAAAGCCAATTCCCAATCCCCAAATCCGTATCCAAACGCCGTATTAGCGCAATTTTAATGAATTTGTTTTTGAGTGCTGCGCAAAAGTGTTGCCTTGATGGGGTTCGGGTCCGTCGCCCTATACTGCACACACCTACACACACACACACACATACAGGCACACACACACACACAGGCACGCACTTGTGTGGGGACTCAATTGCCGCCTCTGTGGCTAATGTTATTTGGGGGCTAGAAGCCCCGCGTTCTATTCAAATGGCGAAAGTTTTTGTCAACGGCCGTGTAATTTATCTGCAATTACATATATGTATATTTCGTAACATTCGCTCGGGTTCTCTGTGTGCGGCAACTAATTTGCAAGCGCGCAAAGGTACACAGTAAAAAAAGCTTCAATAATTGTTGTTCAATTTTAAATTATATTTGCAGTCAACACGTTCGTTATTTGTTGACAGTTCAATATGCGGAATAAAATAATATGTTAAGAGAAAATCAATATACCCTTTTAGGCATTTTGAATGAGTATATATGAAGGGGTTTAAAGGGAAAAGCAAAATGGTGTGTATATTATATATATACAGAGATAAAACTTCAAGAATATCGTTCTTGAATCAAGTATAAAATAAAACAATATACCCTTTTAGCCATTTTAAATGAGTTCAGAGTGTAAAGAAAAAGACAAAATGGTGTTTATATTAATATGTTACATATATATAAACAGAGATAAGGCATCAAGAATATCGTACTTAAATCAAGTACTAAAAAATACCCATTTTAAGTGAGTATATATATCATATATATAGGTATATATTATATACATACACGAGGAGATAAAAGAATCAAGAATTTCATACTTGAATCAAATATAGCCAAGACTAAAAGTGCGATAATACAATTAATACTTGACTCAAGCAGGCAATTTTTAATTTTCAATATACTTGAATCAGTTTTTATTTGCTATGTTTTTCAGCCTTGTTGAGGTCATTATAAAAATCTCAAGTTTAAGTGTCTCGTAAATTGAGTACAAAATAATCATAATTTAAGATAAGCAACACCTAAGTGATCCTTATATTAAACTTCAAATAAAACAACTAATATACTTAAATCTGTTGCTTAAACAATCCCAGTTTGTCCCAGTTAGTATATATTTAATGTGATTCCAGTCCCTATTGAACTTGATGTGAGATTAATTTACTCTTGGACATAAAAGTTTGAATTTTAGCTATTATTTTTTAAATTTAAATCTAGGCTGAAATCGAAACTAATATTTTTACTGCGTAGTCCAATGTTGACTTTTTGGATTTTCCTCCTTTATATTTTGCTGATTGGAATATTTATTCCAATTGCTTTGCATTGCTTTAAAATAAACAATGTTAATCAGGCATAAAGATTATGATTTGGTTTCCAACTAAAACCGAAGTTGGAGCAAAGCACAGCCAGACCTTGATTCGATTTTTATGGCCAACAGAGTCCCGTGTGTACCTGCATATTTGTTAGGGGTTATTAAATCCAGCGTCGCGTATAAATTTTTCCACGAGAATAACAACAATTTATGGCCACACATGGAAAATGCATCGCAGTGTTTTTTTTTTCTTCTTTTGCCGTCTTTTGAATTTTGCTCAACGCGTTTATTTTAATTTAGGCCGACAAATTTGCGTCAAATTAAAGGGCGTTACAGTGGGTCGTAAAAAGTACACGTACACTCACGCAAACAGCATGTGCCTCAATGAGCCGACTCATATATGTGCGTGTGTGTGTGTGCGTGTGTGTATGGTGTACTTTTGCCAACGATATTTGGCTTAGCTAACAGTTGGGGTCGTGCAATAAACTGATTACTCATACGCAGCGTGGAACAACGAAATTGATAAAGTCAGCAACACTAAAACACAAACAAAATAAGACTTCGATGCAGGCTACTGTGTTTGTTGCATACCCTGTAAACCGAAATTGTGCAATGAAGGCAATGCTAGACGGATGCGTGCTTTGGGCGAAATACCCATTAATGGGCATGTTCGAAAATATAAAACTATCGATCAGCATTAAGATCTTGTGCTATGGAATTTTTTTTTACAAAGAAGAAATATTATTATTATTTGTATAATTACTATTTATATTAGATTTTGATTGAGTTTATTTTATTGAAAAGAATTATTATTATTTCTGTTTTTTATTAGGATTGTTATATTTGTTATAATTATTATTTGTTTTATTAAATTTTAATTCAATATTTATATTAATTTTATATTATATTAAATAATTGTATTATTATTATTATTTGTATTATTATTGTTATTATTATTATTATTATTATTAATATTATTAATATTATTATTATCATTATTATCATTATTATCATTATTATCATTATTATCATTATTATCATTATTTTTATTATTATTATTATTATTATTATTATTATTATTATTATTATTATTATTATTATTATTAATATTATTATTATCATTATTATCATTATTATCATTATTTTTTATTATTATTATTATTATTATTATTATTATTATTATTATTATTATTATTATTATTATTATTATTATTATTATTATTATTATTATTATTATTATTATTATTATTATTATTATTATTATTATTATTATTATTATTATTATTATTATTATTATCATTATTATAATTAGTATCATTATTATCATTATTATCATTATTATCATTATTATTATTATTAGTTATTTTAATAATTTTCTTCTCATCCTGCCATGTCAATGATAGCTAGAAAAGTTGTAACTTTAAACAAAATTCGTGACTTTTTCATTCAGAGAATTCGTTTTATGCAATCGAATTCTAAACAGAGTGAGGTGCTGCCTGATTACAGGGTAATTGCTGTTCAAGCTAGCTCAACCAGAGGATTCATGCTTGCTTTATTGTGAATAAATGTGCGCACCACATTACAAAATGACAAACATGCGAACCAGTCTGCCGAGGCCCTCCCTTTCTTGCTTGGCGACGTTTTGCCATTCCGGATTAAACATTATATTCATGTATTACGCCGGATTAAATGCGGTTGGCCCAAATGCAAAGAGGCGGCCAAAACGAGCAATGGGCGGACGAGGAGGTGGAATATATTAAGGACATTCGTGCATTCGGTACCTGAACTGGCAAATGTGCGCACCTAATAATGTGAAACAGACTTACAAAGGTTGGCAAACTATTTAATAACGAATGGACTGATGAGCAGGCGGTGGCATAAAATCAGATGGCCAATGGCTTGGAAAAGTACTCATCGATTTGGCTGGTCAAAGGACGATAAGCCATGTTGGGGCGCCGACAAAAACACGACAGATCTGACCCGACGATTAAGCTCAACAAAAAAGAGGTGGCCATAAAATAGATTTGGGTTCGATGGAAACGGGCTAAAAGGATGGCTGACGCAAACTATTACGAGTTGTTGGTTCCACCTTTGGCTTCGCTTTTGAGCCGCCCTCGACCCATGGTCACATGCGTGCATTACCTCCCCCCCTGCTGTCCTGCTGTTTTTTTGTGGGGCCATGTTGAGGTCCATTTAGTCGTCGCTTCATTGGGCCAACGTCCATAACACGTTGTCCTGTCATGTCCTTAGTGACAGCAACAAAAACGTGAATACACTTTTCAAATATGCCTGACAAATCTTTTAAATGCGGATTTTATAAATTTACAAACTTGTTTGTGAATCGACACAGTTTTTATTTATTTTTAGATATTTAAAGTTTTCTATTTATGAGCCTATTAAGCTTTAGGCGTATGTCCTTGGAGAGTTTAGAATTGCTTTTAAAAACGTTTCCTTTTATAATTATTATTTTATATATTTCAATAGCATTACCTGATGCAACTTGACCCGCGTGGCTTTTGGTTAGGTAGGATTCATTTTCATTAAGCATCTCCTAAATCATGTTTATCAATTTCTCAATTAACAGAGTAATAATATATATATATACAAGACATTACCCGGCGTCGCCAGGATCAATTGTATATAGTTGAAAATGCAAGTGATATCGAAATTCCTTGTATAATTCTCTCTCAATTTCTAAAATATACTCCAATCGAATCTAATGTTTCTCCAATGTCACCATGCTGCCGTTGTTCACGCAATCCTTCCAATTCAAATTAAATTGTAAGCATCAAAACTGTCAACTGAGATTTAACCGAATATTCGTTTAGCATCGGGCTGTCTTAAGTAAAAGCTAGCTAAGAAGTAAGTAATAAGTTGCTGCTCTCGGTGCTCGTATTTCGTCTCAACTGCACAAAAACTATTCAGCTTGAACTTGTTAAAAGGCACATCTCTTCTTATATAAATAAAAACAACTTTCTGTATTCCTTCTTCCCTTGGGTTCATATACTCAACCTCAACGACTGACTGCTCAATTTCGACCCAAGAGGAAGCTTTAGTTAAAATTTCAGCTTTCGAAGTTGGTCTCCAATCAGTCAGTCAGTCAGTCAGACAGACAGTCAGTCAGTCAGTCAGTCAGTCAGTCAGTCAGTCAGTCAGTCAGTCAGGGTTTAGATAAGTATGGGGATGATTAATATTTTTATATATATTTTCAATTTACACAAAAATTAAAGTGCTCTGAAAGCTCGTTGATATGGTGCCAAAGAAATATTTATTCAAAACGTAACAAGATGAAAATAACTTGTAAATTCAAGAAAAATAAATAATTTAAATAATTTTTCTAGACTATGGGAAAACTTGCTGGCAGTGTGCAATTTTGTATGCAAAACAAGGCAACAAAAATATTCTGTTTTGCATCTTGGGAATAGATAAATAAAAATTCAAATTTAGTGTGCGTAGGCAAAATTCAAAATTGCTTTTCAACTGAACGGGCTTAAATACGGAACTCCAAGCAATATGCCATGAACTGAAGGGCTTGCTTAAAAAGGTTTATTTTTATATTTTTGAAAAAAGCTGACAACGGGGTTCCCTGAATGAATTTAAAGGCGAGGCATCGGTTTGAGCCGTGAACTGAACCATCGACAACTGAATATGGACTTAAAATTGTTATGTACACAGAGGAAAGAAAATTGCGGTTTGTAGGTTCATGTATATTATGTACATTTTAAAAGACTTTCAAACATTTTCTACCTTCTCTTATCCCTCCCCCAAGTTGCGATTTGATATTGCTCTTTTCCATGCTTAATTTAAGCTCTAAAAGTTGCATAAGGATCGGACTCTAAGCACCGAAGAAATTAAGAATGCATCTATATATTTATAGTGTGCGGCAAAGGAAGGAAGACTCATACAGACTGTTCCACATTTTGCAGCTAAGTAAACGATTATTGCTGAATGCAAAAGTTTGCACAATTAAAATTATATGACTTTCTGCAGAATTTCTGCACTCAGCGCAAAATGTTTAATATCCGGCTTAACCCCTTAAGCGGAGTGTTTAGAGATAACGACGACGGCCACTGGCAATGAAAAGAGCCAAACGCATAAAATGAAAACACGTATGGGAAAGTTTTAAATAAGCGAATATTTCTCTGTATGTTGTTTTTTTTTTGGCAACCGCTGCACGAATTTGGGGCAAGACACGGCTGTGGCATGGCCTCTTGTGGGTTTTTTTTTTGCTTTCATAAAAGCAAAGCTGATGAAGCTGCCTTGAGTTGTTGGCGGATTAGAAAATAACCGAAAAGAATGCCACTTTACGGTTGAGCTCTCGAGATTTCCTCACCATATTTGAGACGCGTGAGGGGCCCTTGGCAAGGAATTAGCAGCGTTTTGTAGTGTGCCTACCAAGTGGAACAATTGCGCTTACAGTTTGTATGCAAATTTCGAATAACAACAATGACAAAGGTCGACTCGAACTCGGCTGCTGCCACGGCCTCAAAGTATGCAGCAGAACGCGGCGAGTGGCAACTGGCAACTGCCGTGACACACACGCCACAAACGAGGCAAAGTAACTGAGCCCGGGGCAAGAGGCAGCCTTTGTTATGTTGACACATGTGTACATGTGTGTGTGTGTGTAAGTGTGTGTGTGTGTGGTTGTGCTGGCATAACAAAGAATCTGTGAATTTCATTCTTTTGCACTCACCAACTCGTTTGCACTTGGCCATATGTTTACCCAAGAGGTCAAATATGACTTAACCGGTTCATCAGTTCGTTGGGCAGTTCAATAAAGGCAAAGTCAAATAGCAACGAACACCTTTAGGCGCGCTCGACCCCGACCCGAGCTCCTACATCTAGGAGTCGCATCTCAGCGTCCCAGCAAAAATATATTTTTCTCGAGCAAACAGAAGGAACAGCTTGGTGTTGACTATTAGAATGGCGAGCAGCAAACCCAAAGGCATGACATAAATATTTATGTACTCTGTCAGATGGATGCGTGTGTAACAAGCAGCTTTGCTTTAGTAGGGAGTGCCCGACTAGGAGATGCCCTGCACAGCTGATAACTAAGCTGCCGTAACTAACATTCGAGATTTCTTTTATAAAACACATATTCTTCTTCCCTTATCCCCACACTATAGAAAGAGGACTTTCTTCGTTAACTTCGGTGTTTATAGTCCGATCTTTATGAAATTTGCAGGACTTAAATAACTCATACATATGTGTGCATATACCAGAGTGCCCTATCAGCAAAGTTTTTCGAAAAGATAAATTATTTTAGTCTGAGAACCTATATACCATATTTTCTGTAATTAGATCTTATAATTACAAATCGATGTTTCCAAATTAATATTTATCTGCAATATGGACCACAAGTTCTACTGGATCTATCATATGTGAGAATATATATATTTTAAAATTTAAGTCTTTGGCTTTTGTATGTTCCGAGATCAACGCGTTCAGCTCGTCTGCCTAATCGGGAATATATATAGCAAATGGGGAATATATATATATATGGGATTGGATATGCTTCCTTCCGCCAGTTACATAAATTTGCAAATAATCTTTGCCGTTTTTCATGGGTCTAGGGTATATAAATATATATTCTGATAGGGTAATGCTGGGCTTAACCTGCTCTCAGCCATTGGCATTTGTTTGAATGCGAAGCTTTACGATGCGCACGTAACAACGAGAATTAATTACAAGAGCTGCTGGTAAAAAAGATTGCCAGTCTTAGAACATTAATTTGTTGTCTATACCCTTTCGAAGGGTATTTACGTTTTGTTACTAAGGGCTGGAACACGTTGGGGCTGGTATTTTTGACAAAGGTATTAATAGGTATTGTCAGCCCTTGCTCTGGCAAAGTTTGTTTTTTTTATAAAATATGCTTTTAGTTTATATAAAGATCTGTCTTTATTGCCATGAAAAAACATTGTATAAGATACTTTAATGATCAGCCATTCGATTTGACAATTGTCGATCAACAAGATAGATAATTTTTGATATCACGCCAGCTTCCCCCTTGAGTGAAATCTAACTCCATCTTTACTGTCGATAACCCTATGTCTCTATTTATATTTGATGTGTTTAATCGGATAAAAAACAAAAGGTTACAATCATCGTTTTCCAATTTAACTTTTAAAGTACAGCCAAAAATTCGAATAATCAATTAATTACTATATAATGAATAGCACTTTGAGATAGATTAAATAATAAGTAAAAAAGCTAGTTAAAAAAAAATTTTTCGGAAAACCTTTTCGTTTCTCAAGCAACTGGCAGACTTAAGAAACTAAAACTTTATTTTAGACTGAAAGTTAAATTGTTTTATTAATGCCACCTAGTTTAATATAAAGTTTAATTATATTTCCAACAATTTAAAGGGTATTAACACAAACTTTTGGTGCATTGCTTCAATGGTTTTTGGGCAACGTCTCAGGTGAAAAAAACTTGCAAGGCGTAAAAGTTTTGCGGTCGTCCGATAATAGTAAAATTTTTTAATTAATGGTCGTAACTTTGCTGAGACTTTGTTTAAAGTACATTCTATTCGGCAGCTGCAGCGTCGCGATATATATATTGTTAGAGAAACTACTTTTTTAGTCGTTGTTTAACCTGCATTTTATTTGAAGGCTAATGGCCGTCTTCCCCTCCTGCCGCATGCACCTGAGGAGCACACTGAGGGGCAATTTCCTTTCGATGTTGGCTCAAAAGCTTTAAATTTCTTTGAAATTGCGCATGAAATGCCAAAAGGAAGCTATGTGGCAGAGGCAGGATTACATTTACATATGTGTGTGTGTGTGTGTGTACACATATATTTCATATTTCCGTTGCCATCCCGATTTCTCTCGTTGTATTGATAGGATAATGTGCATGTATTTTACCAAAGGAAAATCGTTGGGCTTCATTTTATTTTTGCGCTCACACGTTCTGAAGAGAACTTGCATTCCGACTTTGCATATTTGGTAACTTAGCCAGAGAATGTCTACTTTATTTATATTTTAAATTTCGTGTATGTGTCCCCAGCTGGACTTTAATCGCAACTTTATAGCCCGACGCAATGTGAACCCGTGCAGTTAATGCGCTTAGCCAAAGCCTTTTAATGCTAACGAGTTGATGCATTTTCCTTGAAAACAATTTCCTGGCATGTAATTTTACAGTTTTTGCCAAAGACTGCTTTTTATAGCCACAATCCCCTTTTGTTCTGGCCATAACAAATAGCCTGAATTGCGCCTGGGGCTTGTTCGTTTGTTCGAATCGAATGCTTTAAGCCATGAAATACTCTCTGTCATCGGTAATATGATGTGATTTAATATTTACGCGCTCCCGCCGGAGATTGGGGCGAGGGACAGCAGTACGGGCATGTCGTCAGGCCTCCGGCTAACAAAGTCGAATGACAGCCAGCCCGGATACGGCAACTGGGGAAACGGGGAAAAGCTGGCCCAGGGGTATGCTCATAATTTACGTGCAGCAGGTGGATTGGGACAAGGAGGCTGCTCGCTGGCGCATTCATTTGATTTGACTAAATTAACATTTAATTACGCTAATTGTGGCACAATACAGCGCTAACTTTACGTGGACACAAATCGGATACAAATGCGACATGACAAGCCAAAGAAATGTGTACTTCATTTGCACAATTCTCTGTCGCTGGAAATGCCTGTAAATATTTTAAGCCATTTCTGTTTTTTTTTGCACGTTGCAGCCAACAGGTCCGTTGAGTGTTGTAGTTGAGCGCCACAAACTTTTCTTAGCATCATAATCCAGATTTTGTCCTTGTCCTTGCCGTCGTCTTCGCTTTTGCCTTAGCGTGAAGGTCCTTCCAGCTGCCAAACGGCAGCCAGTGACAATTGGCGACAGTTTTAAATAACCACTTGCAGGCGGCAATTTATTTAATTAACTCAATTGGCTATATAAGAAGATTAAGCAGCAGCCATCTAAGAAAAGGATGCGCCCCAATTAGTTGGCTTTGCAAACTTGACTGCTTAAAACGAGATAATTTAGACCTGAGGTCTAAATGCTTCAAATTATACTAATTAAACTTTTGGTCCAGCGAACACCTTGTCCCTTTTTCACAGCTTTAACTTGTTGAGTTGTTGTAAGCGGCAATCGCTACATTCGTGTGCTTTACCCGTTGTCAAAGATGTATTTTCTTTAACAACAAAACTTTAGTTTTTTTATTTTTGTTTATTATTGCTTTATTAGGTATGCCAGGAATCGGCCAGCAATATTGGCCATAACAAGGAGGGAAAGAGTAAGTACATTGTGTTCACAACTGTTTCATATAGCTCTAAGTTAAAAACTTTAATTTTTCTCCTTGATATATGATGATTTATGTACTATTTGCTAAACACTTGGCGTGCATAAAAAATGGTCTAAACAAACGCCGCATATATCAGACCTAAATACGCTGTCAGACACACTCGTGTGTATGCAAATATTGTGTGTGCGCAGATGACGTCGTCGCCTTGGCTCCACAACCGTCAGAATAAAAGTTTTATCAATAAAAAAAAAGCAGCTCAAAGTGTGGTTGCAGCAACATGCAATTGTTTGTGTTGTTACCCATTTTGCTATTGTTGCATTTGCTGTCAGCCGAGGCAACGCCAGGTGATACGCCCTTCTCCCACTTCTCCTCCATTTAAGGGCGTCCATGGCTGCATGTCCTCACCTTCAGTATAGGGAAAGTAGATAGATTTCCATGTCGTCGTCATGGCATTTTGTTGATGTTGAGCACATTTTTTTTGATTTGCCACAATGCAAAGCAACATTTAAATTGCATTCAATTTGCAATATCATTTGCAGTTCTTTAAAGGTAAGAACTAAATTCGAATAGCTTCCCAACCAGCGCGAATTTGCTGCAAAGTGATGCAGTTGCACCATTTTCCATCCGTGTACAAGGCAATGTGTGTGTGTGTGTGTGTGTGTGTGAAAGGCACGCCAATATCACATTTTGAATTGTTTTCAATCGACATTTGCGTCCTTGAACGAATAGGTACCCACTCTTTTTTTTATTATTTCTACTCTCAGCGAGGAAAGGGGAGGGGGGCGGGGCGAGTGTGTGTGTGTTGAAAGCAAATTTTGCAATTTGATTAAAGCATGCAAATTGTGTCTGGGGAAGCGCACACTTTGAATAAACTGCTTGCGCCCG